GCGCGCGCCCGCGGCGCCCAGCGGCCGCGCGCCGCTCGTGGCGCGCACGCTCGGCGCGCTCGAGCGCGGCGCGATGCCGACGCTCGCGGACCTCTGTGTGCAGCGCCTGCTCAGCGACGACCCGCTCGTGATCGAGCAGTACGAGACGGGCTGCCTGCGCGCGCTGCAGCACACGCTCACTGCGAGCACGGTGGCCAAAATCGAGGCGGCCCGGCGCAGCGCGACGGCGTCCTGGGGCACACGCGCGGACGTGGGCGGACGCACGCGGCCGCTGCGCTGGTACGAGGATGCACCGCCCGGCGCGCCGGCGCCGTCCACGCTCGACGTCGATACCGCGCTCGAGCAGCTGGACGATGCGTGCGACAATGTGTGGTTCCAGCGGTGCCCCGGCGAGCACGAGCGCCCGGGCGCCGGCGACGCGCCCGGGTCCGGCTGCGACTGGCCGCCGGGGCCCGCCGGCCCCCTCTTTGTGCGGGCGGCCGAGTCGCGCATCGAGTGGGTCTCGCATGTGGCCGGCGTCCGCGTCGCGAAGCAGGCCATCGAGATGGCCGGGACCACCGTGCAGGACACGCCCGCTGCCTCGTCTGGGTGCCTGCCGATCCTCTGGCGCGGGTGCAGCCCGGGGTGCCTGCGCTTCCTTGCGGCGCCTACCGTGCCGCACGGTGCGCATCAATGACCCGCTGCCGCGCGGCGCGGCGCGCGCGCGCGCGCGCGCCGGGGACCGGCGCCGACGTAGTGTGTGTAGGCCCCTTGGCACGTTGGGCGACCGTCTCGGCACGGCGCGCCTGGAGCTCGGCCTGCTGGGCATGGCGCGTGGCCTCGTCGCGCGAGAAGCGGTAGAATGCGGCGCCGCGGTCCCGCACCTCCCAGTCGGCGTCGAAGTGCGTGGCCTCCGCGCGTGGCGGCGCGATGCGCGTGTCGAGCTGGCGCACCTCGCGGCGGTACACGGGGAAGGCCGTCGCGGGGCCGTACACGGCGTCATCGTCCGCGGGCGCCTCCAGGTCGTCGCTCTCGCGCATATAGTCGCGGGGCACGTCGCTAGCGCGCACGGCGCGTGTGCGCCCAAACTCGTCAGTGTACTCGACGAGCTCCTCGGCGTCCGCGAGCTCCGTGGGCGGCGACGGCGTCGACGCCGGGCTTTCCACGTCCTTGGCGTCCCAGTCGACGAGGCCGTCGTCCGCGAGCCCATAGCCCTGCGCCAGCTTGTCGTAGCGCGCGGCCTTGTGCGCGAGGGCGCGTGCGGACGCGGCCTCCCGGTCGTCGGGGTCGCGTGGGTGTGGGCGTGGCGCGGGTGCCGGGCGGATCTCGGTGCGCAGGCGCAGGGGGCCCTGCGGCGCCGGCGTAGCCGACGCGCGCGCGCGCTCCCGCGCCGCATGGAGCTCCGCGCGGAGCTGCGTCACGCTGCTCGCGTCCGGGGCCATGGCAAGTGGCGGCGCGCGGCCATGTGGAGGCGACGGGGCCGGCCGGGCTCGTCGCTTGTGCGACCATGAGCGACACGGAGATGCGCGACGCCGATGCCAGCGTGATACGTGCCCCGAGGCGCGCGAAGGCGCCGAAGGATGCCATCAAGGTGCCGCCTGCGGTGAAGGCGCGGTGGCGTGATCTGACGGTGGCGCAGCTGCCGCACCTGCCGCCGGCGAGTGTGGCGCCGTCCGCGACGCTGCAAGCGGCGCTCCAGGCGGCGCGCGCGCACCACGGGCAGTGTGTGCTGGTTGTCGATGACGGGCAGCTGCGCGGCTACGTGGACATGATTGACCTGGTCGCGCAGGAGACGCAGGGCTCGCTGGACGACCCGGTATCGAGTGTGCAGCAGCCGCTGGCCGGCACGCGGCGGGCGCCGCGCTTCCCGACGACGTACCGTGTGATCCACCGCGGCACGCCGCTGGCTGAGGTGGCGGCGTTCCTGAGCGGGGCGCCGTTCGCGCTCGTCACGGAGGCGGTGCCGCGCCGTGTGGAGAGCGTGATCACGGCGAGCGACCTGGAGCGGTACGCGGAGGTCGCGCAGCTCGATGCGCCGGCGGCGCCGATCGGCAGCCGGCCGGAGGAGGAGTCGCGCCGCGACCGCTCGCTCGTGGATGTGCTGCAGGCGCTCGATGGCTATGCGCCGCTGATTCCGGACGAGGTCTCTGACTACTACCTGGAGCGCGCCGGCTTCCAGTGCGACGATGTGCGGCTGTGCGTGTGCCTGGCTAACGGCAGGAAGCGGCTCCTGGCCCTGGCTACGGAGAAGTTTGTGGCGGATATTGCCTCGGACGCGTTCCAGTACGCGCGGATCCGGACGAATGTGGGCCCTGGGCGGAGCAGCCGCCCCGGGGCCGCAGGACGCGTACGTGGCGCCGCTGACCCCAGGACCGCACGCGCACCGTGCTCACGATGGACGACCTCAGCGCCGCGCTCGGCGAGTATGGGATTGATGCGCGACGCGCCGAAACCTTCCGCTAGCTTCGATCGATGGGCGCCGCAGCTCGCTTAGCTAATTATTTAGGAAGATACCTGCCAGGGCCTCGACCGCGGAGGCGGACCCAGGTGCATCGCCACGGTCCAGCGCCTGTCTTCCCCGAGGTTGGGTGGGTAGTGTACTGAGCGATCGTCTAGTTGTGCGGCATATGGAGTCGACCCAGCGCGGCACATTTTCGCCGCTCGGCCCTGCAGCAGCGCTGCGGGCTGCCGAGCCAGGGTCGTCCGAGTTTGACGCGTTCATTCACTCGGACCTGTGCGCCGGCTCCAGCGGCTCGCAGGACTCGGCTGCGCCGCCGTTTGGATTCGTGCCGTTCTCCGCCCCGATCGCGAAGCAGGAGGACAACCTCCCGCTGTGGGGCCACCCGTCCTCCGCGCCCGGCCTGCTCGGCGCGGATCCCGCGCCGGCGCTCCGCGTATCGGACCCCACGTTTCCGAGCCCGCCGCTGTGGCCGGCCGCGCATGCGCCGGCGGCGGCGCCGTCGGCCTTCCGCACGGTCGACGCGAGCGCCAAGCCCGAGGCAGAGACGGGCCACGCCGCGCTCGCGCAGCTCATGGGCGAGGCGGCGATGCCGTCCACGAGTGCGTGGCTGCCCGGCGGCGGCGCGCAGAACCGCCACGGGCGGCGCGGCGGCAGCCTCAGCAGTGCGGGAAGCACGCCGGCGATGCTGTCGAACGACGAGATGGCCTCGAAGCGCGCGCGCCTCTCCGAGTCG